CGGCCGCCGGCCCCGGGGCGCCCCCCCAGCCGCAGGCAGCGCTGGTTCACCCCCGGCTGTGCCATCAGGAGCCCCGGGGAAGGCTGGAGGCAATGTGGGGGGTGCGAGGGGTGCAGGGTGAAGTCTGGGAGCGATGGGCGCAGGGGGGTATGCAGTGTGAAATGGGAGCGCAAGGGGAGGGCTGGGGGTGCAGAGCAATGGGGGTGCTCGTTTCAAATCCCGCCCCTGGGACCACGGGGTCGGTGGGCACCGCCGTGGCAGGGACAGATAAGGGTGGAGGGGAGGGATGTAACCCCCACACCAGCACATGGGGATAAGGTGGCGCAGGGCTGGGTGCGCACATGCTGGCTTGAAACAGAGAGCTGCGTCCTTCTGGACAGCTTACTTTGTTTCTCCTTGGTTTGAATGACTCCTGCAGAGCACTGGATACCTTTAATCCCGTATTTATGGATGAAATCCTTTAATCCTGTTTATTCCAACACCCTCTGTTGCTCCCATCCACCACAAGTCAGAAAGCTAACTCCTCCTTGTTCCTGGAGTGCCTCACGTCAACAGTCACTGCAGTAGCTGGTGAGGATATGCTTTTGCATTTAGGCTAAATCTGGGGTACAAACTATTAACTTTTAGAAGGCACCATCCAGAGAAGTCAGGGCTGTCAACAGGGGGACGTTTTCACTTCCCCCACAGTAAGGAAACCCTGGACTCTTCTGCTAATGTGTTTTTTGCCTTAGTCATCCAAGCTGTCTCAGTTCAAAACCAACCCACCGACTAGGCAAGTCTGTAGCAATAACATCTGCTGGCTTCAGGAGACAGCAAGAGGGCTGACAACATCCACAAATGGCACAAATAAGGGCTGGCAATATCCAAAGGGTGACTCTCCGGAAGAAACCAGCTTCTTACCCAGGGCTTTGGTATCCGAAGGGCGCTCTCACACTGCAGCAGAGCCAGAAGATACCCTTGGAGGCAGCACTGGCTGCTGAGGTGAGTCAGTAGCAGCACGAACTCAAGGAGCCAGAGAGGGAAGCAGCAAGGGAGGATGAGCACGACACATCCTGCTGCCTTCACGGTCAGACACAGCAACAGCCACCAACCACACGGCCACGGCCACCCTGTTTCTGCAAGCCCTGGGGACAAGTCAGTGAGAAGAAGCTCCGCTCCGTGAGCTGCCACCCCATGCGTGTGCTGGGAGGCCATGAAGCGGGCTGGTAGATAAAAGAGGAATTACCCCCAACCCAATTTTGGATAATTTGCAGATTAAACCGAATGCTGGAGTCGTTGGGAAAAACTTTGTTTGGAGAAGGAAGCTGAAGTCTTCAGGAAAGACCTCGCACTTCAGCTGCCACCAGGTTGCTCCAGCTCCCGCTGGCTCAGGATCCCTGAGGATCCTCAGGATCTCTGCCCAGACCCTGGGCAGAGACGAAAATGAGAGTATTCCCTCCTGAGTCTTCACCCCCTCCCCCAGCACTGCCGAGCTGCTCCACACAACTGGGTCATCAGGGAAGCAGTTTCTTTATTTTTATGGAGGGAGAAGGAGGGTGCCAGGAGCTCACAGCTCACGGGCTGAACAGGGCAGGAGAATGTTCTTCTCTCTTTAAAGTTTCCCCTAAAAACATTTTCATTTTCATCCTCACTGCATTTTTTCTATAATGAATTTATCTTTTCATCTGCAAAGCAAGTTTCCCCAGCTGATTTATTTAGTTGTCTAAATTTTTCACTTCTCTGCTTCTGGTCACTAAATCTAATATATTCTGTGGTCTTGTGTTTTTCAGTGGAAAAATCTGGCTCTTTTTATCAGTAGCCAGTAGAAAGGGAAATGCCATTTTCAATAATCCCCCACCTCTTCTGATGGAAATCAGCATCTGGAAAAAAGAAATACAAATCTTCGTGTCTACATCCTCCTGTGCTTACAACAAGATGGGGCAGAACAGCCCTGAAAAGTCAAAAAAAAAAAAAAAAAAAAGAAAAAGTGCTGTCTCTTGCATCAGATGGTATTGAGAATCAGGCAAAACTCTGACCCCCACATCCCCTTCTCTCCTCCCAGAGCCACCAAACCACCCTGCCTCTCCCAGGAGCACACTCCCCACCACGGCACTGCGGTGAAGGCAGCAGACAGGGTGGTGGGGGTGTTTGTGACAGGAAGGAAATGATGTGAGCGTGTCGTGGGGATGTTCTATTAAACCACAGCTTGCCCTTTTCTCAATCTGCATGCTCAGGGGTTTCGGTGTTTGGGTGTTTTTTTCCACACCATAGGGAAGATCACACAGATCTTAAGCATTGAAAGCCTTAAACACGAGAAAGAGATTGCAATTTTAAGGATTATTTAGCTTTGAGAGGGGAAGCATCAGGATTTAGTTGGGCTTTTTAAGATTATGAAAAGAGCAGGGGAGTTAAGAGAAAGCAAAAAATTCAGAGCACTGAAACAGGTCAGACATCTATAATCTACCACTACAGGAGGGCAAAGAGCATTTCATGGCAAATTCTAAAAATGGATTCGGTCATGAGTAACTCCTCCTTGTAAGTCCCAAAGACAAGAGGTGAGCAAATCACACTGCTCTCCGGCACTGGCTGTCCAGGCTTCAGCAAGGAGCCTTCCTCCTCCCCCAGCAGCCAAGCATTTTTCCCTGGACTTCCACCTCCGTCCCAAGCACTGAGCTCGAGATGGGTGACCTGGCTTAATGGAGCAGCACTTCCATCTGCAGAGGCAAAGCCTGCCTTGCTGGACAGGGCAGAGAAAACGGTACAATGTTGCCGGTTTTTGCGCATCAGATGACTGGGACACTTGGATCATGGCAAGCATTAGGGGCACCATTTATTTGCCCTGGCAAAGCAGCTCACGGGGACTCCCAGCACAGTCTGGATCCACCTCTGGGAGGGTTTCTTGTTGCACCACATGGAAGTGGACTTCCAGCTTGCTCGGCTCCAGAGACAGGAGCATGCATGTCCTATACGAGGGATGGTGGTTAAAAATCAGGGATGCAACCCCAACATCCCCTCGGCTGTCATCCCCCACCGAGCAAGTCAGGAAGGACACATTTGCAGAAACAGCAGCAGGAAAGTAAAAGGTTTCTTCCTTTACGAGAGGAAGGGACATCCACCAGCTCCTGACTCCCTTGGGTCCTGGTCCACACCTTGAGCAGCTCAGAGGGAAGGTCAAGGTTTCCTGGTGCACCTTGTGTGCAGGAGACCTCAGGAGGCAGAGAGCTGTAGGCAGGCTGTTATTTGCCTCTCAAGATTTGCAAGGCTGAGGAACAGAGCGGCCATTTCAATCCCACACATCTTGAAGCTCTGGACCCAGCCTATCGCCAAAGAGAGAGCGTATTTCCTTTAAAAAATAAACAAGCAGTACAGGCTGTGCATCACCTTCCAGCACATGGGAAGGTCCACAGCTCCAGGGCAAGAAAAGCAGCTTACTGAGGTGTTCCTCTCCTCACGTGCATGTCTGCATTTTGCACCAGCTGTGCTAGAGGAAAATCCTGCTGCGATGCAGGTAGAGAAAATTGTTAAAGTTTGTGCTCGAGTCTGCCAGACGATGCAGAATGGCATTATGCAAAAGACAGCGAGGGGAGGGCAGTGCAAAAGGTGCTCTGTTACCTTTTATCACAAATAAAAGGATAAAAGAGTGAACAAAGTGAAAGAGGGGCCTCATGGCAATACAGCTCCTCCAATGCACGTGTCACGATTGTGGTACCGTCTGCAATACAAACCGTACCCAGAGCCACTGGGGCCAATTACCATTAGCTGTTGCACAAATGGGGAGTAAGAGAGCCGCTGCCCCCGAGAGCTCATGGGTCGGGCTGGGAGTATTGATGGCAAAGCCCCTGGGTTGTGTCTGCTGACACAGTAATTTCGGTTCCACGCGAAGGGTTGTACAAACCGCCAAGCTAACACCTTCGCAAGTCCACAGCAGCACCGCACAGCTCTTGCAGCCCAGGAGCTCAGATCGAGCTTGCTATTTACACCAGCTTAGTCTAAGCAGTCAAAATGGAGGAAAGGGAAACTGAGGCACAGTTCTTCCAGCCACAGGGCAGGTCAGGAAGGGAAATCCGGTACCATGAGTCCCAGCTCAGCATCTTCACATCACCTCTCCACCTTGAGTGAATCCCAGGAGACCAAGAGTGGTTACGTTCATTCTGTTTCTCTTGAACTTAATTCCTTTGTAGATGGACTGTGAGATGAAACCCGGCTGTTCCTTGACAGTGGAAGAATTTAGCCGAATTAAGTCTGCTGGCATCTTTGCTTCATGTCCCAGGTAGCTAAATAACCAGGCAGTCAGCTCAGAAAGTAC